ATATCTATCTCAATAATCTGAAATATTCTTTTAGATAAAGGTCTGTAATGAGGTTTCATAAACGTTTCAGTAATCATCTCCCTATCCTGACATTTAATTTGAACTATTCGCAACAGTGGTACATATGCATCACCAACAATACTAGGATCCACAATATCTGAGTAAACATAGAGCAAATAAAATCCTCTATACATATTAACAGTATGTGGAACTATAGTGTGTTCTGATACTATATGATTATTCTCAGATCCGAGTATTACATATAGTACAGGATCAAATAATGTACAGTGTCCTTCTTTTATATTGACCCTTACTTTTCTGGTGAATGAATCGTAATCAAATACAGGATATTTGTCGGATTCATAGGCTAACTCGTCTAATCTGTTTAGTATTCTAATCAAATCTTCAGGCTTTTTGTAATGACCAGGTCTAATATAAATGGTTTTATTGTGACCATCAGAGGTAGGTAATAAGTGATCCAGCCTGTACTATCAGGTACATTATGCCAACTATGTGGATACTGTAGTTCTGCCAAGGCAACTTCCCACGATCTTTCAAGTTTAATAGATCTCAGAAGATGAGTGATATAGTTTGTTAGAGTATTATTAGCAAAATAATTCAATGAACTGTTACTAGGTAACATCACGTACAACTGATCCATGTTTAATAATGAGAAATAGAATTTTATATATCATTTTATGACGGCAGGCGATTCAGATCTGTTTGAGGGATCCAACTATTAAATTTATCAGGATATCCTTTCCATTATATAAAATATTATTTGTTTTTACCACTGCCATGTTCACGTAATATTTCTTCAACAACATAGACGTCATGGGGAGACTTTATAACTCTTTGTAGTTCAGATTCGTAAAATGTTCCAATCAATTTTTCTCCAAGATAGTCTTGCAGTTTATAAACTGGTGAATTTTTCTCTATTCTCTGGTAAATCGTATGTCACAGTTTATTTCTTCGAACTGGTGTCTTTTCGTCAAACTCTTCTCTACTTCGACATTGCAACACAGTACTTACTTCACAAACCACGCAGACTTGGTCAACTCAGAACTGACTTTTGAATGATTCACCCTTGATACACTGTGTGGTGGTGACGTCAATATCTCCAAGGTGTTGTAGAAGAAAGCTTTACATTTGATCACGTGCTGTCACAATCCTTTCTTACGTGTGAAGTAATGTTATACAGACATCAATTTGTTAATCTTGTGAATGTGTAATAGAAACGACATTTAGAAATTTGTATGAGTGTTTCGTGATAGACAATCTGAAAGTTCTTGTATTTTAAATAACAGTAATCGGTATGTCGTTCATTTATTATATTTAGTTGTAGGGCGATTATTGGTTACGTATGATGCATTAAGTGTCCTACAGAACATTGTCTGAAAGAAGCTATGAACAGTTTCGAAATGTATTCCATACTTTCACAAGTTTTGTGTGCGTTTGCAGGTGACCAGTGGTTAGTTAGAAAATGGACGAATACAGTAAGTCAATCATTTATTATTTTTATTACAGATAATAAAATTTAACATAATTAAATCTAGATGATGATGACTTGTAGAAATGCTGTCACATTACATTTGTTAAATTCTTATGGACATTTATTAAAATTATAGCAATAATATAGATGTTGATGACTTGTAGAAGTACTGTCACTGTATATTTGTTAAAATCTTATGGACAGTTGTTAAAATTATAATAATAATATAAATATGTGTGTGTGTGTGTGTGTGAAAGTCCCCTTTGTAAAACATGAGTGAATTATTTTGTTGTATAAAGTCAAATTAGTAAAAGTGTTATTGCATAATAAACGTTTTATTGACAATGTAAGATATTGTACAAAGTTAAAGTATACGTTTTAATTATTGCATGATATCATCCTTTTCAGGGTAATTTAAACCTTCAGACATGTAGTGTGTGTGTGATAAAAATGTGCATAATTATGATCATGTTACGATAAATAATGTTTTTGACATTTAATTATATCACTGAAAATCTTTAAACACTTGATTGATAATTAAAAGAGTAAGTTTTAATTAAGATAAATTCCTTTTAGAACAAGAAATTTAATTAACTGGTGAATTAGCATTAAGCGTTCTTTTTAGGACGAATTAATTGTAATTGATTTAATGAATTAATTATAAATGACTTAATGAATTAGTGTTAAGTGTCCTTTTTATTACGATTTAATTATAAATGTATTAATGAATTGGTGTTGAAAATCTTTAAACAATAAATTTTAATTGTTGTATCGTCCTTTTTAGGACAAATTAATTATTAATGAATTAGTACTAAGAGTTCTTTTTATGACTATTTAGTTATAATTGAATTAGAGTTAAGCATCCTTTTTTATGACGATTTAATTAATTAGTGACTCGCTCTCTGGTAGCAACCTTTGGTACTATGCCCTCGTCACCCCCCCCCCCCTGTCATATTAGCTTACTTAAAATTTAAGAGACGTTTTCATGACTAAAATTTCTGGATAGTATATATATATATATATATATTGTTACCACAGCAGAAGTCACGTGACGCTGGGAGCATGCGCGCCGGAGGTTCTCGAAGGATCATGAATTTGTCCGGCAACTCTAGTCTGATCCAGATGCCCTCTTTTTTAATATATAAGCCTGGCAGAGAGGCCAGCGATAGGCAGATAGATAATTCAGTCAAGCGAACAGTAGGCACGTCAGTAAAGTGTGTGAATCACTGTGACTTATAGCGTGTGTTATAAAGGTTGTTAAATAAAGCGACGAGAAAACGTATTGACTGTGGAAATTCTGTGTATTACAAAGTTTGTATCGAGGGAGAATAAACTAGTTTTACACAAGAAGGGACTTGTATCGCTGAAGTTCCTCGGAAAGAATTTATACCGGAAATTAACAAACAAGCAGATACATAACAATATATATAAATATATATATATTGCATTTATGGCTAAACAACTAAGGTTGTCTGCCGCTGTCTCTAGTTTTGAATTGCTGATTAGATGGAAGGCAGCCAGTCAACGGCACCCTACCATCCATCATCCATGCTAAGGGATAGATTGTAATTTTTGTATCGCACCCACAGCTTAAAGAGTGAGAAATATTTTGTGGTACTGGCAGAGCTTTGAACCCGGCTTAACAGCTCCGAAATGCACTCAGTCACAAAACCAGTCGCGAACTTTAGAAGAATACACACAAAATAAAATCACAACAGGAGGATTAATTGTTTTTTTAACGAAAAAATACACACTGAGCTAACCTTCATCCATTCCGGGGATTCGAACCCCCAGATGTTAACTTTGTAATTCGGTAAACTTACAGCTGGCTCAAACAAAAGTTTCATTTATTATGATAGGAATTAACAAAACCTATACCATAATAATACAAAATAAATTTGGAGTATTTATTTCAAAGTTTCTGTAATAAGTCTTTATACTTACATGCGGTTTTCTTTGCCAATTTTTTAGTCTGAACTTAGTATATCTGTGCCTACCATAAATATTCAATAACTGTCTGCAATATTGTGGCCAATATTATCAAAATGAAACGGTCTTAACAATTCAAATTAATTTAATATCAGTTTGTGAATATAGAGTTTAATAAATCAAACCATATCAAAAATTATCGAGTTCAATACATAGTAATTACATAAAGACTTTATTTCTAGAAAACTCCAATGGCTTAGCAGTAAGTCTATGGGCCCACGTTACTTAAAACCGGGTTTCCATGCTCGTGGTGGGCACAAATAGCCCATCAAATAGCTTTATATTTAAACAAATAAAAATTCTTTATTTATTTTTCACTTTAGAAATAGTTTATTACATTTCAAAAGTTTTCTTAACAGCAAGCACATGATTCACCTGATAATCAATTTGATAAAAGATCTGACTTGGAACGTCATATTTCTTTTTGCTTTGTTGATTATTTTTAAGAGGTTTTTTTTTTTAACAACCTGGGGGGACAATGGTAGGTTTACGGACTTCCAACGTTAGAATCGTTCTAAATAACAATACATGAATTGACTTCCTATTGATATTTCTAAAATATTTATATTATTGAATAAGGGAATTTCTTTTTTTTTCGCGCTCCTTTATCCCCAAAAGCATTAACCATCACATTATTTACTACACTAAAGATGTCGCGTTTCGTTGGGAAAACGAATATAGACATTTACATATCATGTGTTTAGTAATAGTTTGTAAGACATGTGAAAATGCGACTTGCCTGAAAAACAACGCCAGGTTGTTTGGTTTGTTTGTTATTAAACACATAGTTACACAATGGGCTATTTGTGCTCTGCCCACTGTTGATATTGAAATCCAATTATTAGCGCCATAAGCCCTCAGATTTGACTTTGGGCCACCGGGGATGGGGAGCAAAAACGTTAGGACACACGATTATTTATTTTTCAGGCGTGTATTCTAAACCTATTTATTCACGTTCCTCAAAACAAAAGATTAAATAACAGGGAAAAGAAAATCATGTCTTTTCCCGAACATCAGTCATTTCATTTTATTATGGAATGTTACCGACGTTGACAAAATTGTAAGAGCGATTTAAGAATGTAGAAAAGTTTCACAGTGTCTTCATCAAAACGAGGGCTTATTCGCTTGGTCATGATCCAGGTGTCCTGTTTCTATAAATGTATGATCAATAAGTTTGAGAATATTTTAACAAGGGTGTGGATTTAACAATGTGATCAGGTTTCGAGGAGAAATAAAATAAAGAAAATTTAAACGTTCTCTCAAACGCAATGTATAAGTTTTGGTTCTTAAGGGTAATACAACGTGCACTTAGGCATGACCAAACCATCAGCAAAAACGTTTCAATTCAGAGTTCACATTCTTTTCGACATTCTGAACTTGTAACTTCATGAAATGAGTCACTTCAGTAACGCTATCAACCACAGACATTACGATTGTGGACCTAGCTTTACGCAGTCACAGCAGCCGTCAAGTCTGCAACCTGTTTTGGGACAATATGGGAGTCTATAAAAAGCAGGTGAAGACAGTCCAGAAGTGCATCTTATTCGGATGACATTAAACTAACTAGGCACGCTATGAAACAGCCTTTAACGTGTCTTACTTGTATTATCTTTGTCACAGGCGTAAACCTGTTGACTAAAACGACAAGCTCTAATCGTCTGTTTTCCTTTCCCAACAGCATCTACCAGTCTCCTAGAACCATTAACATTAATCCTTACCCAGGGCGCTTTGTTGGAAAAGGCCGTGTACGTCAACCGCGTGACGGAAGAGACGTGGAACTAGAGTGTAACTTTGCTGGATTAAATGTTAAACTTGTGTCTGTGAGTAAATTACAAACTATATACAATACTTCCTTTACAGATATGCACTTTATCTGCAGTTAAACGTGTACGTATAAACATATTTTTTAATCTGGATATTGGATTTTGTGTGTCTGCACAAACTTGTAAAAGTTTATTTTAAGATTTGAAATAAGCTATTTGTGAAATAAGAGCATATTTTTTCTAACTCACTTCTTTAGAAGGATTATGGCCTTGGAGCTGTGATACTAATTGTTAAACGTTTGGCTTTGGAGCTTTGATACTAATTGTTAAACGTTTGACTTTGGAGCTTTGATACTAATTGTTAAAGCTTTTGGATTTGGAGATTTGATACTAATTCTTAAACTTTTGGCTTTGGAGCTTTGATACTAATTGTTAAAGCTTTTGGCTTTTGAGCTTTGATATTAATTGTTAAAGCTTTTGAGCTATGATTCTACTTGTTAAAACTTTTTAAAGACACATTAGTGACAAACAATATTTTTTATTGTCCAGGATATGCGTGATGAATTCACTTTTAGCTTATTAATGAAGTGTTTCAACATGTATCATGAGCCAACTGTTGCACTGCTGGTATTGATAACTTCAGCTTTATCATACCTTCATTATACGTCTAAATGTGACCCGGTCGTCCAACATACTGGATAAGATTACAGCGCGTTGTGCTTGTTATAGTTAGACTACGGGAACTACGGGAAAGTGACATTTCTACTTTGGAAATTGGCCCGAGAGTGGCCTAGTGGTTAGTGTATCAGACTGGGAATCCATTGGCGCAGAAGCGGAGGGGCAGTAGACCTCGGGCTCCCCATTTTTCAACCTGTTCCAGTAAATATGCATCAGAATTAGGAAAACAAGAGGGAATCCTTCAATAGCTCCGGCACTTGAAATTATTTTAGGCATGATTAGAGTAAATTAACCTATGAGACCGTTTTTTTATTTCATTTTTATTAGCTATATTTTTGTGCGCCAGCAATACCAAGCGTGGAGCTCGAGTATACCCAATTCGATTTTATTACTCGTCAGAATCTCTACCAGCCTACCTTCAAATTGAAATTATTTTAGGCAGGATTACAGTAAATTTATGTATGAGACCTTGGGCATGGTCGAATACATCAATCGAAAGGGTTTGACCTCCTGAGTCCAAAACTGTAATTAGATCTTAAGTCGGTCTAGAGATGACGGAGCTACGACTTGAAAGTTTGTACTTGAAAAAACAAACATAAACAATCGGAGCCATTCGATGAACCGCTCTTAGGAAGATCAGGAGATTGCACAGAATTTAATCGAGGACTAAAGAGCTTCCATGGTCCTAAAACAAGCCCTGGATGTAATAGTTGCACCTGTGACGCACGTTTCCTCGCTTCTCTCTGTTAAATATATTTTGGGCCATCTCCTCTTTTAATTTACCTCTTGGATCGAAGGGTCTCTGGTTTGAGATGTTGTACTCTAACCACACTTCACATTTCAGCTGTAGTGAGAGGGATATTCGTTTAAAAGTAGCTGTTTCAGGCGGTGTGTACTACCAATTGGTTGCCTTCTCTCTCTAGTCCGTAGTTGAAAATTAAGAACGGCTAAGGCCAGACTTAAATTACTTGTTAGCTGTTTGCGACCCAACCCTATGAGGATTGGCTAACTAGGTAGGTATTTATTATAATCATTACTGTCTGTATGAGGTGTTTATGCATGTCGGTGTAAAAAATGAGTATATGTATTGTGTAGTTGCATTAATTGTAATATGTACTCTACAGACATTTTTTACATACATTTTTCCATTCAGTATCTTTTAATTTATATTGAGTACTAATATGTTCACCTTTGGCCTGCAGTCTTTGGTCCTCAATTCTCCCTTTGCCCTGTGCTCAATAGTGGACTTTGTATCATGCGGTTATTACTATATAAGATTATGTATCTAATGAAAATGTTTGATTTACTTTATTTCTTTTTCTTGTTTCTCATGAAAATGTCCTCTATTCTAGAATGTTGTTTGGGAGAAGATTGAAGGACCTTACTTCTTTGTTGACGCTTCATTCCCTTATCATTGCCCCAGCTGCTCCGTTCATTATGTCAACAACTACCGATGCAGCGTGCTAAACTTCCGCGACGGATCCTTTCTTCACATCAGCGATGTTTCACCTGAAGATATCGGTATCTATCGCTGTAGTGGCACCTCGCAACTGTCTCGTTCAGGACTTGCTGAGACTGTTTATCAGATTGTTGAATGTTTTTAAGTGTAAACCAAAAAGCTGAATGAGCTTTTTGCATTGATTCCATGGGAATGAAAGAGAACTTTAAAATAAACGGATAAAATTTTATTAAAATAAAGCAAGTAAAAGAAAATTGGTTACTCTCCATCAGCAGTGGTTTTACGTGTGTGTGGATATATATATATATATACACACACACAGAGATATATGTTATGGTTATGGAATATTCATATATATGGAATGAAACAGAATAGGTGACACTATAGGGAATACAGTTATAAAGCCAGAGACCCATAACTAAAATATCATCGTAATTTAATTTAGTAACATAACCGTTAACTATATGCAGGTATCTTTTTATGTTTTTTTTATAAAAACTATAGAAAAGCGCGGGAACAAAAGAAGCGTGTTCTAATTATTGGCGTAGTAAATGAAATATTTTTTCCTCAGTCTGTAGTAGATTTAGGCCAGTGGCAATCAGTATTTTGTTTTAACAAACTAGAGATTCTATTACTATTACAAAGTTAAGCTAAAGCTATTGATTAAAATTTAGACTCTTTATTGGATATTTGTACTTTAGTATTTTAGATAAAAGATCTTTGAAATAATAAAACTGTACTATAATTTTGAAATGATGAAAAACGGAAATGAAAAGAATGTTATTTATTTCTTAATATAAGCTAAATAAACATGTTTTCACAGTGTTTTTCCTTCTGTGAGTTTGTCGTTTAATGTCGACTTAATTCTCAACATTATACAATGCATTATTCTCATATAAGGGGAATTGTGTGTGTATGTGTGCGTACTTTTGAACTACGTTCACATTCTCTGATATACAGTAAAAAAGACTAGATCTTGTTAACTTTTAAATAATTCTTATCACTCAAAGGAAACTGTAGTGAAAAAGTATGTACGTATAACTTGTTGAATGAGAACCTTGGTAGAGAAACAATGAACATGCATTATTGTCGAATGAGAACCTTGGTAGAGAAACAATGAACATGCATTATTGTTGAATTAAAACATTGGTAAAAGAACAAGACATGTATGTTATAGTTTGTTGATTTATAAATAAAAAGTGATGTCGTAATTGTGTCATTCAATGTTAATAAGACACAAATTTAGTACCTTATACAGTTATTAAATTGTCAGCATATCAAGACGTTGAAATGGAAACAAGGAACAAGTACTCCCTAAAACTATATTTAATTGATAATGGACATATCACTGTTAGTGATTTTTTTCATAAAACAAAGTTTATGACACGTAGTAGTTAATTTTTAAAGCTGAAATTTTACTTGGTTTCAAGTGAAAAATGCATTATGCTTAGCTGTTTACGAAATTGTCAAACTTTACTTCGTTATTGTAAACATCTAGTATCAGTTAACAAGGTATTTTAAATTTTGTTTTAATGTAGATTAGTAGAATAATATTGCAAGAATAATATGAGATATCTTCTGATCATTAAAAATGTCTTCACTAGCATGACATTGAACATATGTACCCTGAACGTATTCAAGCTAGATGTCCTTACTACTATAGAAAATATTTATACCCTGAAAGTATTCAAGCTGGAAGGTATCGTTACAATTATACAGCACATTTTTACCCTCAACGTATTAAATCAAGAAGATGGTGTTACTATTACCTACACATTTGTATTTTGAATGTATTCAACCTAAGTTTCGTTACTATTATGGTACGTAATACATATTTTTGCTTGTATTCAAAATATACTGTTCTTTAATTACGTTAGAATTGTTTCTAAATGATTTATTTTGAACTTCCAATTCGCGGAGAGAATAAAGGCTTATAAAGTTGACAATTCTTTTGTGTTAGAGTACAGGCTTGATCTTATATATAAATCACTTGATGACCTTTTAATATACATTGGTTAATCTACTAATACACGACTCAAGCTCGAAGTTAAAAGAAGAAATCATTGAATCATTTATTTCAGAACACTTTGGAAACAGAGGGCGAACGGTGCTTGATTTCTTACCGAAACAGTTACGACGGAACTAAAAAAAATGAAATGCAAATGAGCAGAGAGGTGAACGTTCGATTTATTTCTGCAGAGTCATTTTTGTAGTCACTGTCTAGTCAAGGTTATCATAAATTATTATTTTCTCAGGAGAGATGAGACTACAGATAGTATTTTATGTATTGTGTTTGTCACGCACGGCCAATCATGATTTGTAAAATAACAAAACATCAAATTAGCCCAAGATATATCATGGAACGTCGTTGAAACAAGTAACAACATAACTACAAATTTCCGCTATTGTTTCTAACTTTTCTCCATTACAAGATCAACTACACATACAAATCGATTTGGTATTTCAGACAGTTTAGTGGATGTATTTCACTCAAAAGCATTCCTTTAATAACGCCTTAAAATCATTGGTGAATGTTTTTTCAGTGAAGTGATAAATGTTACTTTGTCTTTAATACCCGCAGATGTCGAAACAATGCCGCTAGTTAGCCTTAACATTCTTGGATGTAACAATGTTTACATGTATTAGCGGTTCATATATTTAGGGGAAAATATAAAGAAGTGATATAATAATGTTCACACTACATTGTTAGTTATTTTCACCGAATATTTTCTATAATTGGAGAAAAAATCCAAACAGCAGATTATTATATTGTAGAAGTAAATAAAAAGTAGGCATAACGTTTTCTTAGGTTCAGTGCCGCTGCATCAGTTAAGTATCGATTATACCTGTATGTGTAGCTATTGTTACGTCTCCGTTTGTTAATTGATTTTTCCGTAACTTCGTTCCGACGAAATTTTAACGACACAAGTCTTTACTTAATAAAACTGGTTTATTCTTTCCAAATATAACTTTACGATACACTTAATTTCAATATTC